CCATCCTGGCAGGATGGCTGGAGCTGAAGCAGGTCCAGGCTGGGGGCTTCCAAGTCTCTCCACACAGGGGACATCCTGGCTGACAGTTAGGGCTGAAGTGGGCATAGGCCGGGTGGTCCTTGCATGCTGTGCACTGAGGCTGCCCTGGCAGGTTGACTGGAGCTGAAGTGGGCGTGGGCTGGGGGACCCTATTGCATTTCCTGCGGGGGTGCCCTGGCAGGACAGCTGGAGCCCATGTGGGTGTGGATCTGAGGTCCCAGGGCACTCTGTTGTAAGGGTTGCCGTGGCAGGATGGCTGGAGTCCAAGTGGGTATGGGCCTTTGCCCTTTTTTTTCTTGAGTTGTAAACATTTATATCCTAAATACAAATTTTTTATCAGATACATGATTTGCAGATATTTTCTTTCATTCTTTGGGTTGTCTTTCACATTGTTGATGGTATCCTTTGAAGTACAAAAGTTATTTTGATGAAGCTCAATTTTTTGTTCCCTTTGGTTGCTTGTATGTTGGGTAACATTTCTTAGAAACCATTGCCAAATGCAATGCCATGAAAATTTATGTCTATATTTTCTTAGAATTTTGTAGTTTTAGCTCTTTGATCCATTTTGAATCAATGTTTGTGTACAGTGTGGGGAAGAGGACCAATTTCTTTCTTCTGCACATGGATATCCAGTTGAAAAGACTGCTTCCCTCAGTGAATTGTTTCACATCCTTCCAAAATCGTGATTTTCAGGAGTGACATGATTTCCTTTGTGTTTTAAGACATTGTCACTGTCTGCTATGTAGAGAATGTATTGGCAAGGCCAAGAGTGGATATAGGGAGCCCAGTGAGTAGGAAGTTGCAGTTATCTAGGCCAGAGATGATGGTGACTTGGTCTGTAGTAGTGGTAATAGAGGTGGAAAGACACAGGTTATGATTGGGAAATAATGTTATTAGGACTCAGGGACTGTCTGACTGATGAGGAGGGTTATAAAAGAGGGAAGAGATCAAGGATGACCATATTTGGATTGGAGTCAAAGATGATCTTCAGATTTCTAGCTTATATGACTAAGTGGATTGTAGTGTCATTTGTTACCACACAAATGGAGAAGTATGTTTTTAGATGGAAATAATGAGTTTAATTTGGGATTCACTGAATTTGAGGTACCTATGAAACTTTCAAGTGGATATGTCCAGAGGCAGTTATAATGTGGGTCTAGAGTAGAGTGTGGGGGCAAGCCCTGGGTTGGACGAGTGATTTGGTAGTCATGAGCACATAGGTGGGACTGGAAGCTCTGGGAGAGCCTGAGGAGAGAGTCAGAGGAGTGAGAAGAGAGCTTAGGGCTGAGAATGGGAACCTGAGGAGGACACAGAAAAGAAATGGCCAGTGAGAGAGAACCAAGATGGCGGGGTGAGTAGAGCAGCGGAAATCTCCTCCCAAAACCATATATATCTTTGAAAATACAACAAATACAACTATTCCTAAAAGAGAGACCAGAAGACACAGGACAACAGCCAGGCTACATCCACACCTGTGAGAACCCAGCGCTTCGCAAAGGGGGTAAGATACAAGTCACAGCCCGGTGGGACCCGAGCGCCCCTCACCCCAGCTCCCAGAGGGAGGAGAGGAGTCAGAGAGGGGAGGGAGAGGGAGCCCAGGACTGCTGAATAGTCAGCCCTAGCCATCCACACCAGAGCACAGACACACAGTGCGTGCGTGGGGTGCTGGAAACTAGGAAAACAGGACAGTAAGACCTGTGAGCAGGTCCTCGCAGCCGGCGCACCCAGGACAAAGAAAAGTGAGTGCTTTTTGAAAGTCTTAAAGGGACACAGACCCCACAGCTGGATGGAAGTGTCCCGGGACACATAGCCCAGCAGCTGGGGATCCCAGGGAACACCGGGTGCCCTAACCTCCTGGGCGGCAGCGCGGCTCAGAGGCCCCTCACAGTGATAAACAGCCTCCCGCCCATTCCCCCTCTGACACAGCTCCGCCATACTGGAGAAGCAGCCTGAGGCTGGCCACGCCCACAGCAACCACGGAGCTCCACAGTGGCTGGGCAAGAATGAAAACCCCGCCTGCAGGCAGCTACCCAGCACAAGCTGCTAGGGGTCGCTGTTCTCCCAGGAAAGGAAGGCCACAAACCAGCAAGAACGGACTTTCTCTTAGCCAACACATGCGCCAGCTCCCCACAAATACCTCTATCGCCATGAAAAGGCAGAAGAATTTGATACAGACCAAGATCACAGAGGCAAACACTGAGAAGGAGATAGACCTACCCAATCTCCCTGAAAAATAATTAAAAATAAACCTCATAACCATGCTGATGGAGCTGCAGAGAAATATGCAAGAGCTAAGGGATGATGTCCGGAAGGAGTTTACAGAAATGAAACAGTCTCTGGAAGGATTTATAAGCAGAATGGATAAGATGTAAGAGGCCATTGATGGAATAGAAACCAGAGAACAGGAATGCATAGAAGCTGATGCAGAGAGAGATAAAAGGATCTCCAGGAATGAAAGAATATTAAGAGAATTGTGTGACCAATCCAAAAGGAACAATATCTGCATTATAGGGCTACTAGGAGAAGAAGACAGAAAAAGGGATAGAAAGTGTATTTGAAGAAATAATTGCTGAAAACTTCCCCAAACTGGGGAAGGAAATAATCGATCAGACCACGGAAGTGCACAGAACCTCCAACAGAAGAGACCCAAGGAGGACAACACCAAGACACATAATAATTAAAATGGCAAAGATCAAGGACAAGGGCAGAGTTTTAAAGGCAGCTAGAGAGAAAAAGGTCACCTATAAAGGAAAACCCATCAGGCTATCATCAGACTTCTCAACAGAAACCTTACAGGCCAGAAGAGAATGGCATGATATATTTAATGCAATGAAACAGAAGGGCCTTGAACCAAGGATACTGTATCCAGCATGATTATCATTTAAATATGAAGGAGGGATTAAACAATTCCCAGACAAGCAAAAGTTGAGGGAATTTGCCTCCCACAAACCACCTCTACAGGGTATTCTAGAGGGACTATTCTAGACGGGAGCATTCCTAAGACTAAACAGATGTCACCAGAGAAAATAAAATCACAGCAAAGAAAGCAGACCAACCAAATACTAACTAAAGGCAAAAAATAAAATCAACTACCCACAAAAGCAGTCAAAGGAAACACAAAAGAGCACAGAATAAAACAACCAACATATAAAGAACGGAGGAGGAGGAACAAGAAGGGAGAAAAGTAAAGAATCACCAGACAGTGTTTAAAATAGCTCAATAAGCAAGTTAAGCTAGACAGTAAGATACTAAAGAAGCTAACCTTGAACCTTTGGTAACCACGAATCTAAAGCCTGCAATGGCAATAAGTACATATCTTTCAATAATCACCCTAAATGTAAATGGACTGAATGCACCAATCAAAAGACACAGAGTAATAGAATGGATAAAAAAGCAAGACCCATCTCTATGCTGCTTACAAGAGACTCACCTCAAACCCAAAGACATGCACAGACTAAAAGCCAAGGGATGGAAAAAGATATTTCATGCAAACAACAGGGAGAAAAAAGCAGGTGTTGCAGTAGTATCAGACAAAATAGACCTCAAAACAAAGAAAGTAACAAAAGATAAAGAAGGACATTACATAATGATAAAGGGCTCAGTCCAACAAGAGGATATAACCATTATAAATATATATGCACCCAACACAGGAGCACCAACATATGTGAAACAAATACTAACAGAACTAAAGGAGGAAATAGAATACAATGCATTCATTTTAGGAGACTTCAACACGTCACTCAGTCCAAAGGACAGATCCACCAGACAGAAAATAAGTAAGGACACAGAGGCACTGAACAACACACTAGAACAGATGGACCTAATAGACATCTATAGAACTGTACATCCAAAAGCCACTATTTACAATAGCCAAGAAATGGAAGCAACCTAAGTGTCCATCAGTAGATGAATGGATAAAGAAGATGTGGTACATATACACAATAGAGTATTATTCAGCCATAAGAAGAAAAACAAATCCTACCATTTGCAACAACATGGATGGAGCTAGAGGGTATAAAATAGCCAGGCAGAGAAAGAAAAACACCAAATGATTTCACTCATACGTGGAGTATAGGAACAAAGAAAGACTGAAGGAACAAAACAGCAGCAGAATCACAGAACCTAAGAATGGACTAACAGTTACCAAAGGGAAAGGGACTGGGGAGAATAGGAGGGAAGGGAGGGATAAGGATGGGGTAAAAGAAAGGAGGCATTACCATTAGCAAGTATAATGTGGGGGCGGGCATGGGGAAGGCTGCACAACACAGAGAAGACAAGTGGCGATTCTACAGCATCTTACTGCTCTGATGGGCAGTGACTGTAATGGGGTTTGTGGGGGGCACTTGGTGAAGGGGGGACCCTAGTAAACATAATGTTCTTCATGTAACTGTAGATTAATGACAACAAAATTTTTTTAAAAATGAAAAAAAAAAAGAAAAGAAATGGCCGGTGATGGCGGAGCAATCCAGGAGGAATCCGTAGGAATTGAATAGGAGGGAATCTTAAGGTGGGGGCGGGTGGTTGATCAGTAATATCAAATGCATCACAGAGGTCCAGAAAAATAAGGCCTGAGAAGTGCCCATGTATCCTTACTGTTTCTGTGCTCCCACGGTAGTTTGATTGGTTGGTTGGTTGATTTCACAAAAAAATAGCTTCATACTTCTTTCAGGTGACAATTTTTTAATACTCTGGAACCAGTAATCTTTACATATACATTTTCCACAGCAAGTGCCTGGAGGTATTGCTGGCAGTGTCTGATGGATATTTGTGTCTTAAGCGGTGCCACCTTTCATTGGCATCATCTGTGCTAACCTTTCCCATCCTGAATTGAGGGTATTAAAAGCCCAGCTACAGTTTGGATTCCAAAATGGATTTCAAAAAGTGTTCTTAGACTGGATGTTCAATCTGTTTCCTTTCTTTCTAATCTTACATAATATTCTTTTACCATTTTTTTAAACCAGATACGTGAAAGAGGCCAAAGAAGCAACTAAGAGTGGAGATCTGGAAGCAGCATTAAAACTTTTCAGTTTGGCAAAGGAAATTTTTCCCAATGAAAAGGTTATGAGCAGAATCCGAAAAATACAGGAAGCCTTGGAGGAGGTGGCAAAACACGGCGATGATGAATTCACAGATGTGTGCAACTCTGGCCTGTTGCTTTATCGAGAACTGCACAACCAACTATTTGAGCACCAGAAGGAAGGTGTAGCTTTCCTCTATAGCCTATACAGGGATGGTAGAAAAGGTGGTATTCTAGCAGATGATATGGGGTTAGGGAAGACTGTTCAAATCATTGCTTTCCTTTCTGGTATGTTTGATTCTTCCCTTGTGAATCATGTGCTTCTGATCATGCCAACTAATCTTATTAGCACATGGGTAAAAGAATTTGTCAAGTGGACTCCAGGAATGAGAGTCAAAACCTTTCATGGTCCTAGCAAGGATGAACGTACCAGAAACCTCACTCGGATTCAGCAAAGGAATGGTGTCATTATCACTACATACCAAATGTTAATAAATAATTGGCAGCAACTTTCAAGTTTGAATGGCCAAGAGTTTGTGTGGGACTATGTCATCCTTGATGAAGCACATAAAATCAAAACCTCATCTACTAAGTCAGCAATATGTGCTCGTGCTATTCCTGCCAGTAATCGCATCCTCCTCACAGGAACCCCAATCCAGAATAATTTACAAGAACTGTGGTCCCTGTTTGACTTTGCTTGTCAGGGTTCCCTGCTAGGAACATTACGAACTTTTAAAATGGAGTATGAAACTCCGATTACTAGAGCAAGAGAGAAAGATGCTACCTCAGGGGAAAAAGCCTTGGGATTTAAAATATCTGAAAACTTAATGGCCATCATAAAACCCTATTTTCTCAGGAGGTCAAAAGAAGAGGTACAGAGGAAAAAGTCAAGCAGCCCAGAGGTGAGACTCAGTGAAGGGAATGTAGATATTGATGCCATTTGTGAAATGCCTTCCCTTTCCAGGAAAAATGACTTAATTATTTGGATACGTCTTGTACCTTTACAAGAAGAAATATACAGGAAATTTGTGTCTCTAGATCATATCAAGGAGTTGTTAATGGAGACACGCTCACCTTTGGCTGAGCTAGGTGTCTTAAAGAAGCTATGTGATCATCCTAGACTACTTTCTGCACGGGCTTGTCATTTGTTGAATCTAGGGGCTGTCAAATTCTCTGTTCAGGGTGAAACTGAAGGGGAAGATTCCTCAGATGTGGACCATATTGATCAAATAACTGATGATACACTGATGGAAGAATCTGGAAAAATGGTATTTCTAATGGACCTGCTAAAGAGACTGCAAGAGGAAGGGCATCAAACTCTGGTGTTTTCCCAATCAAGACAAATCCTAAACATCATTGAATGCCTCTTAAGGAATAGGCACTTTAAGATACTAAGAATCGATGGAACAATTACTCATCTTGTGGAACGAGAAAAAAGAATTAACTTATTCCAGCATAATAAAGATTACTCTGTTTTTCTGCTTACCACTCAAGTAGGTGGGGTTGGTTTAACATTAACTGCAGCAACTAGAGTGGTAATTTTTGACCCTAGCTGGAACCCTGCAACTGATGCTCAAGCTGTGGATAGAGTTTACCGAATTGGACAGAAAGAAAATGTTGTGGTTTATAGGCTAATCACTTGTGGGACTGTCGAGGAAAAAATATACAGAAGACAGGTTTTTAAGGACTCATTAATAAGACAAACTACTGGTGATAAGAAGAACCCTTTCCGCTATTTTAGTAAACAGGAATTAAGAGAGCTCTTTACAGTTGAGGATTTTCAGAACTCTGCAACCCAACTGCAGCTTCAGTATCTGCACGCTGCACAGAGGAGGTCTGATAAGAAATTAGATGAACATATTGCCTACCTGTACTCTTTGGGGATAGCTGGAATCTCAGACCACGATTTGATGTACACACATGATCTGTCTGTTAAAGAAGAGCTTGATGTGACAGAAGAATCTCACTATATTCAACAAAGGGTTCAGAAGGCTCAATTCCTTGTTGAACTGGAGTCTCAAAATACAGAGCTCTTAATGGAAAGACAAAGAACTGGAAATGAGAGGATCTGGCCAAAAAAAACTCGACTTCCTTCTCAAACAAAAAAGAAATGCCCTGAATTGAATAAACCACAGCCACAGCTTTCACCTCCTCTAATTCATCATACTGCAGAAGAAGAAATCAGTTCCCAAATGGCAAGTGTAATCATTGATGATCTGCCCGAAGAGCTTGAGACTGTCCTGCAAGATGGTATCCATCCATGTGAAAGCATGTTTGGAGCTGACTTTGTAGCTACTTTACCCAAGGGGTGTGAACATGTAGAAGATATTTGGGCCAACTCCTTAGTAGGAATGGCTCTACAGAAAGAGGCACAGCGAGAGGGGCCTACACAGGAGGCACTGGAAGAGAAGCCTCTGGGAGATCTCAGTCAACTGAAGGATGATGGTACTTTACATCACTGCAGTCCCCTAGCCATTAATCCCATAATCAATGAAAATCAAAATACAGACTCAAATGTATCTGTTACTGAAACAGCGGACAGTGATCTGGCAGCATCCCACAGTGCACTGCAGGGTGCTCCAGCAAATGGGGTCACGTTGAACGAGGAATTTTTAGCATCTCCATCACAGTATGTGTGTGATTTCAATCTTTTCTTGGAAGACTCTGCAGACGATGGACAGAATCCTTCCAGGCAGTCTTCGGAGCATGCTGAGCATGAAAATAGCTTGTGTGGCTCTGCAGCTAATTCTGGAGCACAGTTTGTTCAGAGCAAAGCAGGTCTCAGTCTGAATCTTTCTGAGAAAGAGGATGAGATGGAAGAAGTAGTAGTTAAAATTAGAAGTAAGGCTAGAAGGATCGTTTCAGATGGTGAAGATGAAGAAGACGTTTTTAAAGATACTTCAGGCACAAATCCATTCAACACATCTCCCTTTCAATTCCCATCTGTAAAGCAGTTTGATGCTTCAACTCCAAAAAGTGACAGTTCACCAGGAACGTTCTTTTCACCCAAAATACCTGATAGTATAAATAAGTTTGTAAACTCGAGAAGATCCCTGGCTTCTAGGAGATCTCTTATTAATGTGGTTTTAGACCATGTGGAGGATATGGAGGAAAGACTTGACAAGAGCAATGAAGCAGAGGTTTCCAAAGGTCACCTGGAAGAAGGAGCAGAGGAAAGCAGTGGTGAAGCCTCAGAGTGTACAGAAGAGTATCCTTCTAGAGAAACACTGTCTTCAGAAAGTAAGTCCAGCTTGTTAACTACACCTAAGTCTGATGTTCTCAGTCAAGAGACCTTTCCTGGTGACCTAGATCCTTTGTCTGGTAGACAGTTGGTTGATTCTACCCTGGATAAGGCAGTGGAGGCTGCACACGACTATGAGACTCTTGTTATGCATGGAAAAGAACTGAAAGAGTGTGGAAAAATACAGGAGGCCCTAAACTGCTTTGTTAGAGCACTTGACATAAAAAGCGCAGATCCTGAAGTCATGCTCATGACATTAAGTTTGTATAAGCAACTTAATAAAACTTGAGAATATAACTTGTTTATTGTATTTTAAAGTTACCAGAGTATGAGGTAATTTGTTCCCATAATTAGACTCTTTGGAAGCATGAAGCATTCAGGCAGGCTAAAGGCTAGAGAGATCTCAAAAAGCAAGGTTTGTTTATAACTTTTTGGTAAAGTATCCCTTTATTCCCTGCTTTTCTTATATTTAGGTATTCTGAGCATTACATTAATATTCCTTTACTTGAATATTCTTGTATTTTTCTTTTAGGCATACATACTCAATAAACTGTTATTTTGAGAAAATTTTTTGTAAAATTATTCTAGCCATTCTTAATTTTATTCTGAAAGTGGTAACTTTGGTATCTCAGAGTTCAGATAATAATATTAAAGTTACTTTTCTCAAGTGTTTTCCATTCACTTTCACTGAGAGGATACTGGCAAATGCATATAGAAACTCCTTAGTTTAGGCCGGAGCTTGTCATTAGTCTTTCAAATCTAAGACTTGCTTATTAACATGCTAATTTATGCTCTCATCTTACTATAGCAGAAGGCTGTGACAAGGTGCCTGGTTAGGCTTCTTCATCACCGGCACTCTACCCTGGGGTCACCTTGCTGACCATTCAGCTGTTCTTCACTCCCCACCAATGCATTCGGACACATGCCAGCACACTGTATCTTGTGGGTTGTGGGAGTTTGGTTCTCTCAGAAACAAAGCGCAGTATATCACTCCACTCTGTCACTAGAGAAAAGGAACTGCCATTTATGGAGTGCCTACCATGTATCGGGTACTCTACATAGGTTTCTTGTTTAATCCTTAACCATAATCCTGTGAGGTAGAGGATTTCTATTTTTTAGTTTGAAGTAAGGCTTAGTGAGATGATCTGCCACCATCACATAGTAAGGGGTGAAATGCATTTTTAACCATACATTACCTCATGAAAAGCCACTGTAATGTAGAGTTGTTTTTACAATACTGTTAGGGTCCAGAGTCAACCACCTCTCAAATAGACAGAAGACACTCACGATAATGCAAGTCACACAGCGAGGTTTATTTCCAGCTAGCTGGGGTCCAAGTGTCTGCCTGACACAGCGGGTTTCAGCAAGGACCCAGAGCACTCAAAGCCAAGGGTTTATATAGCATTTTCAAAGCACTTAACTCACAGTAATTTTCTTCAGTTACATATTATTTTTGCAAGTCACATCCTGGGGGTTAAGCAAGAGCAAGATAAGACCACTCCTCAATTAGACAGAGTGGTTTTGCAAGATAAGCTGACCAGGGTCACAGCCGCCCACAACCTGGTGTCCATGATTAATTTGTTCTTCAAAACCTGTTTATCAAGCCTTACCCAGTTCCTCCTCCCCCGAGTCACGCACTCATAAAATGGCTTTTCAGCCCTTACAAATACTTCTTACATCAAATGTGGGAGGTGGTTTTCCACACCAAGCAGTTCTCCAATTTTCTGCAGACATCAACTGAGTGTCTTACAATTCAACTCAATTCTGGCACCACCTGGAGTTAGGGTCAGACTTCACAGGTTTAGAGGCTCACTCCCTAGGCCTGCCCTCACTTCAGGAGCCAGCTGTTGTGTTGTTGTTAGTGCTGGGCTTCTACGTCATCTACTTTCTGTCCTATGCTACAAATTGAGGGTTCCCATGTGTGGGTGAAGTGAAGGTTCCTGGGGCCAGGATTCTCACCTGGCCCTGGTTGGCTAGCTCACTACATGTGTGGGCAGTATGTCATCAGACTTTATATAAAGAGCCCTGCCCAGTGCTCTGGGTGACATAGTGGCACAGCTGCAAGTCTGCAGGAGAGCAGAGATGAGACTGGAGTGGTGGCAGCGCCAAAACAGAGACTGAGACAGCTGCACGGGTAGAGAGGCCCAGAGGCAGAGACCAGCTTGCTGCATGCAATCGTGGATACGATTCTAGTGATTGACCTGCCACCATGGAAATAAAGTTGGGTATAACCCTTTCACCCCAAGAACCTTCTACTGTCATTCCTTTGGTCACACTCTGAATCCATAGTGAACTTGCCTAGGGCTGAAACCCATTGGTAAGATGCCATGACTGCTCCTTCAGGTTCAATAATTTGCTACAACATCTCAGAATCAGGAAAACATATATTTACACAGTTAAGTACAGAATAATTGTTTTGTAAAACAAAACTTTTGATTACTTAAGTATAATTGGTGTCCTTTGTCATCCTATGTATTTTATTCATGTAAAACCAACACTCTGAGAACGGAGCCACAGGCTTGGACAAACTGCCAAAGGGCTCCATTGCAAACAGATTAAGACTCCTAATTTAAGGGTATGATGTAAAAAGTCTCTCAACTGCCCCTGCCCCCAGGTTTGGATTGCTGTTCCTGGAGACAGTCTATGTATGTATAGGCACAAGCACGTATGTGTGTGGGTAAAATTGTAGTACGTCCAGAATATCTCCCCTGGCTTTAGTACATATGCATATGAACAGGAGCTCAAGGGTGAAGAGAAGTATGGCTTTAGTGCATTTGCATCATTCCTCAGGGGTGGGGAGAAGTTCATATCCATATCAGTGAGTAATTACCTGGACAACAGAGGGCTTATCTGTACCTGGAGGGGGAGGGGGAGGGCCAGATTTGCCACTGCTGGAGCAGGAAAAAGAGAAGGCCCTAGACTGCAGTTTGTAAGCAATAACCGGATTTTATACTTTATTTCTCCCTTTGACTGATTTCGGTTGTAGAGGTATTTTGCCCCGGGATTTCCTTTCCCAAGACTTACAATGTGTATGTATGATTTACCCAAATAATAAACTATATACACTGCTTTCCACTTAGTTTTTAACACAGTTGTACGACATCCTATTAAGTGGATATACCATAATTTATCATCTTGTATTGATGGACAGTTTCCAACTGGTGCTGTAATGAATATCCTTGTACCATTTATACATATGATTATAGGATAAATTCCTACAGATGGAGTTGCTAGGTCAAACGGTGTATTTATAATCTTGATGGACATTTCCACACTGTTCTCCATGGAGGTTACAGTAGTGTCTATTTCCACCATTCACCTGTTTTCACCATTTACCACGAATACCTGTTTCCCCTACCCTCACCAACAATATGTTCAATGTTTTGAACTTTGCAAATCAGATAAAAAGTGGGATCTCATTTTGATTTCAATTTGCAATTACTTTACTGCAAATGAGGTTTGTTCATTAAGGCTTGAACTTAAAAGATGTGGTTTCAAAGTAGAATTGAATACATATTCTATGTGTGTAAATCTGTATAAATCCTTAACTTTTTCATTTACCGACTCTTTCAGAACCTTAGATGCCAGTCAGAAGCTAACTTCCCAAAGGTTTGCTTAGTGTCAGACTCATTCCTTTCTCACAAGTTAGCTATAACCTCTCTCTCCATACCACAGAAATTAGTTTGCTTTTAGTCCACCTTTCCAGCATTCTGGCTTCCTTTCTGTGTGGTGACATCCCAACAGAAGTATCCTGGGTAAGCCAATGTCCAGAGCAAAGGACTCTGGCTAGGTAGTGTCTCATATAAAGCTTTTCAGAATTTCCTTCAAGACTTTCACAATTTATAGCCCTCATTTAGACACCTTGTTTTGAATGTGGTTTTTAAAGCAGTTTCATCTTAGGCTTATTTCGAACATCTCTATTGTACTGGCCTATCTGTGTATCCCAGGGAATGGGACACCCTTTAGTCTGCTCAGTGGGGAAAATCTCATGGAGGCATAACCTGCTGGGGTGCTCAGAAACTCTTCTAAAATGGGAAACAGGTCTCTAAATGAAGTTGCCACTATGTGGCATAATGTGGGCATGTCACATGCAGCTAGAGAACAGTGTATTAAAAGAACTGTTAAGAATCACAGTTGTGTTGGCAGTTTTAATTTTGAAGCAGTATAGCATTTACAATATTTTTACACTTTTTTGGCATATCATAAATATGGTATTGAAATTTTTAAAATGTAGATACGCTGAACACTGGCCCTGGGAGGGGTGGCCATGATATAAGCCATCCACTTGAAGATGAGGGAATGTTTTTATGCTGACATCTCCCCCTTTGACAAGCACTTGGTGAATAGCAGCTTAGTCTTGTAAAAACAACTGGTAGAAGAACTAAGAGCCCTTTTCCCTCCAATAAACACTTATTTAAAAAGAAAGGAGTTAATGTTGAATGGTCATTGAGTGCCACATACTATGTTAAGACAACAGAGCTTAATATCTGTTCTGGCAGATCAAAGTTGGCTAACTTATAAAACAAGTGTTGTCTAGGAGCTTATTTTTATGATTTTCATATGCTAATCTGTCTTTGATGTCCAATTCAATGTGTGAATACTGGGAGTTGACACTTGGCTCTCTTAGAGACGGTTTCTAAATTACGAAATATACTGAGAATCAAGACAAAGTAGTTCTGGGAGGAAAGGGACTACAGATTAAAAGGAGTTGGCTTGACTTATCTTTGAGAACTCCTGACTGAATACCTACTAAACACTAACTTTTACCCACTTGATTTTGCACCTACAAACTACCAATGTCAGAGTTCTTAAAATACAAGGCTTACTCAACATCTTTTAAAGAAATAAACAATGTATAAAACATTCAGTCTCTCATATGATTTTATTTTCTCCCTTCTACCATAACAATATGGTATCCAAATTTTGTTTTAACTGGAGGGTCTGTAAACACAGGTTTATCCAGCCCACTTACAGGCAAGGCAAATGCTGCTTCTTGAAATGGTCCCACCATGGACCCTCTGGTCATCCAACCCAAGTCGCCCTGAAAAACCCAAAAGATAAGTGAGGTCAGGTGGTTCTGAAGAGGGAACAGTTCTAGTGTAGCTTGAGATTTTCCCAATATGCACACTAAGGTTCCTAGGTTGATTAATCTGGACTGTAAAGTAGGTTCAACAAAGACAAGCAGATGGAGAAGGTCCACCCCTGGACTGAACACATAAGCACTCAATGCTGTGGTGTCTTTGTTAGCTGTGTTTAAGTTTGACCATGCCTAAGTTTAGATAGGTGACTCATATTCAATTGTTCACAAGTTGGACATTTGGCTTTTAAGATCTTTAAACCACGATATGGCTAAAATTAATGGCAAAACATAGAAACGATCCTACTGCTTCCTGTGTGTCCTCCATGAGGGACAGATCACCTTAAAAGATTAAGAGCACCATACCCCTTGCCTGGCTTTATCTTCACTATATTGTGTGGCCACTTCATTGAATCTCACTCCAGACTTTAATTTTTCCATGGCTTCCATGATTTTCCCATGTTTTTCACACAGGATGTGTCTGACCTACAAGGAGAAAGTATGTTCATGTAATAGTTGAAGGCCCAAATGAGTCCTTTCCTCACAGTACAGCAGTCATATCTGGATTTCCTCCATTAGCTACAAACGCATTAGCTCATGGCAATGGAGAAGCCTGGAAAGTTGCCCAGTTGGGTGATGGCCACAAACCCAATTCCCACATCAAGACAGTATCACAGAACCCCAATGTACAGGGAAAATGGACACCTGGCTATTGGAAGCGCCCATCTTTTACCATGTACCTCAATGAAAGAGGAAAAGGAAACATAATGGTTACAAACTTTGGTCCTGGAGTCCTGTCCCAATTCTGCTATAGGATCTTAGGCATGTTGTTAAATCTCTAAGTGTTTCCTCCTTTGAGCACTGAAATACTAACAGTACCTATGTGTTCTCCTGGAGTTATGAAAATTGAGGTAGTGCAGCTATTATTCAGTTAGGGCTAGCTATTATTTTATCAGCATGGGGATGATATTTTTAAAAACTGAGATTCATTTTACAAAGAGAGCCAGTGTCAATTCTCCCCACAATTCAAGTTAAAAAAGTATCATATATTGATGGTACACATGGCATGTGTGTGGGGTCATGGGGAATGGGGAAGACAGTGTAGCACAGAGAAGACAAGTAGTGACTCTGTGGCATCTTACTACACTGATGACTGCAATGGGGTATGTGGGGGGACTTCATAATATGGGTGAATGTCGTAACCACAATGTTTTTCATGTGAAACCTTCATTAGAGTGTATATCAGTGATACTTTAATAAAAAAAGTATCATATATTGAGTATTAAGAGTACTCAACCTTACAGAAGTATTCAAATTTGACCTATGTTCACACAGGATGTTTTTAAAAAATCACTATATCCTTAAAAATGATGTTGTCAAGATATCTGTTTTACAGGATTTTCTGCTTGTCATTCAAACAGAATTGTTTCATATTACAGGTGATGGATGCACTTGGGTGGGGACTAAAAGTGTCCCCTTATAAACTCAGAGACCAGCAAACCAAGGTTGTCCTCAGGGTTCAACTACTGAAACTGGGGGCAATGGGATCCCAGGCCTACAGGAGTACCTTCCTGACTGGAGGGGCTACATGGGAGATACGAACACAGCAAAGGAAAGACTGTTGTCAAAAAGCTAAGCTCAGAAAGGCAAACTTCTAGAGAATGTGTCCAGCATTCTCCAGGGGAGATGGACAAACAATCTGGCACTAGAGAGACACATTTTGGGGGACAAAGATGGTTCATGAGACCTCAACTTGGCTGGGCTACAACAGCTTCTAGACCACCTGCCACTTGCTGCTTCCACACTCACAAAGCAACCACCTGCTTCACTCACTGGGAAAGTGCACACAGCATTCATGATCACAGAAAAGGGATACCAAATGAACAAATAAGTATTCTAGCTTGGACAGTTTGACAGGTGAGACATGCGGAGTCTGTGGTACTTTGTGGGCTTTGTTAAGTATGACTGACCAACTGGCAACTGTAGAAGATTGGCATCTTTGAAGAGCACCAAGCTACAGAGAGAATTTAGGAACACCCACATGGAGGTAGTAGGGGATGCTATGGGATGTGATGAGACTACCCAGGGAGGCTATGGAGAAAGAGGAGGAAAGGAGGTTAAGGACATTCTTAGAGAATATCAATGTTTAAGCAGTAAGCAAAGAAAGCTCAACAAGCCTGATAAAAAGGAAGGGCCAGATGGGTAGGAGAGAAAGGCATGTTAACAGAAACCAGGGCAAGAGAAAGTTTGGAGGAGGAAATGGTCAACAGGGTTAAATGCTGCAGAGTGAACATGTTAAGAAGTACAATCAACTCAGCAGTGACTGGTCCATGGCCTGACAAAAGCGTTTTCAGGAGAGTAGTGCAGAAGCCAGCCCACAGCAGGCTGACAGGAGGAGGTGAGAAGCAGGAAGGGTACTGCGCATGGGGTGTGCCCCCAACAGAGTTGGAAAAGCAGCAGCAAGGGCTTTGGTCAGAGGACAAGGGTCACAGACGTGTATTTTAAGGTCCCTGGAGATGTTTTCAGAATGAAGGGAAAGAGGCAATGGCTGAAGACAGAGCAAAGAAAGAAGGTGGAGATAAATGAAGTAAGCAGGTCAGACACTCAGAGCCCTCTTGGAGAACCTAGCTCTACAGAAAGAAAGGTGAGGAGAGAGAGGAGGCAGGTAGAGGTGAAACTTTGTTGGCAGGGGGCTGAAAAGCTGAGTTCTTAACTATAGGTCTGGTTTCCTTTTTCTTATGAAAATTAAAATACTTGAAAGTTATTGAGTACTTAATATTTGCTAGGCACTGTCTCATGAAATCCTCACACCAACCCTGTGATACTGTGTTTCTCAACCCTGGCAGCAAATCAGAATTGCCCCCAGAGCTTCTAAAAAATGTATCAAGGTCCAGGCCCCACCTCGCAGAGATGCTGAGGCAGCTGGTCTGGTATGAGACCCTAGGTACTGGCAGTTTTAGAAGCTCTCTACGTAAATCTGATGTACACTATGGTAGAGAACCACTGGATGAAATTAATCTGCTGACTGAATGCAGCAGGTTGGTAGATGGCTTGAGGTGAGTGGTGAAGCTAGTCCTGAGGGCCTAACTGAGGTTGGAGACCAGAAATTAGTGACCCCAATTCCCAGACTGTGTGATTCTCCAGTACGGCCCAGCAGTTCTGGGTTTAAGTGTAAAGAAAGTAGCTCACTGGACTGACCCTGAGTTGTAGTTTGGCAGGTGGATGTAGCTATGACCAAAAGGAAAAGGAGTCAGGGCTCCTTGAGCCAGTGGTCAAGCTGTCATATGGAATTTCCAGTTTACAGAACATATAGGGCTTGGAGAACAGACATGATGCCTGGGAGGTGAGGAGAACCGGGAGGGTTTGAGGTCCTGTAGGTCCGTGTGCTCAGAACAGAACAGGACTGGGGGGAGGTGGGAAGAGAGGGAGAAGGAGGGAAGCTAGGGTGAGCAGATGCATTTCAGGGTCTGGACAGTTCTAGTGACCCAGGGCAGGGATGGGCTGAGGAGTGGGGTCTAAAGCAGGGTGCCAGGATGTAGAAGGTGCTTAGACCCTTAAAGGCTGGAGAGTTCTGGGGTCCACCCCTAGTGGGGCCTTCACAAACACTGGAAACCCACCTGTCCTCCAGCAGGTGAGCAGTTATACATACTATGGCCCTTTCATTCCATGGAACATTACTCAGCAATACAAAAGAACAGATTACTGATACACGCAACAACTTGAATAAAATCTCCGCATAATTATGCTGAGTGAAAATGCCAATCCCGTAAGGTTACATACTGTATCATTCCATTCATGTAATACTCTTGAAATGATAAAATTTCAGAAATGGAGAACAGATTAGTTGCTGCCAAGATTAACAAGGGAGAAGAGATGGGGCGAACTGGGTGTGGCTAGAAAAGGGCAACAGGAAGGATCCCTGCAGTGATGGTAATGCTCCAGTATCTTGACTATATGTATCAATGTCAATCTCCTGGATGTGCTACTGTACTAGAGTTTTGTAAGATGTTACCATAAGGGGACACAGAGTAAAAGGTACGTGTATTATTTCTTACAACTGAATATGAGTCTAAAATTATCTCAAAAGAAAAAGTTTAACAAAGAAGTTTAACCCTACACAATTTTCCTACCTCATTAAATGCCACTCCTTTCCATATACCTCATGTCCATATACTTAACATTTTTTTTCCAGAAAGGGCAAGACATCTCTTTAAAGCCATACACAGTGGAGTAGTCTCTTAAGTTGGGTGCTTGTAAAAGTATAAGTGAGTCTATGAGGTGACAACTGCACATAGCCAAAGTTACCCTGCAACACCCCTTAGGAAGATGCCATACTGTAGACCAGCATGTCAGCCCTCCTCAGGCCCAGCATAGCCTGTCTCTCCCACCTGTATTGTAACAACAATTACTTCTTCAGCTGAATTCCAGGTGAAATAGCTGGTTTGTATTTGGGGACCAAAAATTTATCTTTGGATTCCAGAATCCCACTTCACATAGCTGGATGCTCATACAAGAACAGAGGTCAACTATGGAGAAGCAGATTCAGCTCTCCCACCTCACCCTCTCTCTGCAGCACAGGTTCACTGAGTAGAAAAGTGGGCAGAAAATGGCCCACGCTATTTACACTCCCCCCTCTCTTTTTTTCGGCTGCATGTGTATGCTTGCATTTGTATGATGCCATTCCACTGGTGTGCTTATCATAGCCATGAAATTGACTTCCTTACCTAACTGCTCCTAGCTAGACTGTGATAACAGGGACCATCTCTTACTTGGTTTTTTTTAATAATACCCAGAACTTAGTACACTGCTTGGCACAGGGCAGATGTCACTAAATAATAGTAATAATTAGTTATTATTATTTTTTTTTTAAGTTCACCTGTTTAGAATTTTTTTGACATTTCCTAAATACATATATTTCAAGATTATGTTTCTATTTTTCAATTTTTTTCAACATAGAAAAATGTTACAGAACTATTCTTTATGCTGTACTTTTATCCCTGTGACTAATTTATATTACAGTTGAGATTTTGTGCCTCTTTCTCCCCTTCACCTGTTTCACCCACCTGCCCCAGCTCCTCCCCCATGGCAACCACCAGGCACTTCTCCATGTCTCTGAGTCTACTGATGTTTTGTTCATTTTGTTTAAAAAAGAAAAACCCTGCTATTTGTTGACAACATGAAATAAACCAGGCAGAGAAAGAGAAAAACCATATGAATTCACTTATATGTGAAATCTAAAAACAAAACAAAACTAATAAATCATTATTGAATGAAGGAATCAAAGCATGGGATCCCATATCCTGAATGACACATGAAAACTGCCTTGTTACATAGCACTGAGCAGTACAGTTCTGTTTCCAGATTATACTCTCCCAGGGCAGACACTCCTCGGTAACTAGGTCCAGTACTTCAAGTACTTATTTGCAATTGTCTCCACTTTCATGCTCAGGGCCCTGCTTGCAGCTCACCAACAGGGAAGCTATCTAATGAGACCAGTGCCTTTGTCTGCTTACCTAAGCTCTTAGTTTTATAAAATATTTTTTCCTGAGAAATAATTCATTCACTTACTGGGAAGATATAACTTAATACATTTTAAGGAACAATACTGAAGTATGAAAAAATTCTGGATGCCTGGGAAAGCATTTGAGAAAATATTTAAAAGGAATTTCTCTTCTTAAGTGAGATTAGTCTATATTTTCCAATTTTGTGTTATGTTGATTTTACATGAGTGTTAGGTGAACGTCTTAGAATGAGTTAAGCATGCTGTCTTTTCCTCTTCTGTGTACCGAATAACACATTATCTTTGTTACTTATATTTACCATGAAACAAAAAGAAGGAACTAGTAACTCACCTTTACTGTACTGCCACCACCTTTGGGACCCTGAGCCTTCTTGTCAGAACAGTCACTCCCAGAGGCTGCTCCCCCTACAAAGAGATGACAGGTACTCATTTAAACTGCACCTTGATATTTGCAGAAAGGTCCAACACAGCAGGAGTTCACTCTTCCATCATAGCACCAAGCTTCAAAAGGGAACTCTGCCAGACACTTCATGACATCAAGCTAAATTATCTGTGACTCACCTCTCTTAAAACAGGTAAGTCATGCCCTACATAAACCTTTCACAGAAAATGGATACACATGATCATGTTAATAGATGAATGAGAGCACCAGAAGCCTGACCCAGATTTTCTGGACTCAATTTGAAATCCTTCCTCCAGGGCAAACCCCTGAGCTCTTGTAAGATTTCTATTAAGCACTGTAACTATGCATCTGAGTACTCATGATTCCAGTAAGTAAAATCTCCGAAAACATTTTAAATAGATAACATTTTCCACCATCCATATTCAGCTAAAGAATACATTCATGTCTAAATTCCTGGAGTCTACTACACTGCCTACTCTTACCATCCTAAGAAGTTATCAATGCTCAGATTAACAATCACTGGCAGCACCTTACGTTTTACTACCATGGCAACTTCTGTGTTGATGGCAGCATACTTACTGTCAGAGGTTCCTAAGAACTAATGCTGGATTAAGTATTCAGTTCAATCAACATTTCCTAATGTGACTACTAAATTCCATGCACTGGGGATACAAAGATGAACAAGCCATGGTACCTTCCTTCAGGGAGCTCACATTCTACTGGGGAGAAAAGATATGTCAACAGATCATTTCAGAAGGATGATCTACAATCTGTGGACAGTGGGCTGTGGAAGCACAGAGGGCTATTTTAGCCAGTCACAGGTTTCCTGCATGAGGAGCGGACCAGGTGAAGAAAGGACAAGGGTGAGGAGATACTCCAGGGTTGGAGGAACAGTATGGTCTGTGTAGCAAACTACGGATGGAGCCAAACGTTGGGTGAGAGTCCTGTAAGATGAGCCAAGGGGAGGTGGCTGAGGGTTAGGGCACAAAGGCTTTTGGACCCCATTAAGGAACTTGAAATATATCCTAGAAGTAATAGAGAACCACTGAAAAGTTTTAATCAGGAGACTTCACCTTAATTGTCTTAGCATCTCCTATGCCTGGCACACAACAGCTGTCCAGTAAACGTCCAAATAACTGAAAACCCCAAATACTGACCACCAAATGCCTAAGAAAATGTTACTGCCCTGGAGTTTTATTACACCAAACTCTTTAGTGGGTTTGTGTATATTCTCTCTCGAACAATGATGACTTCCAGTTATCCCATTCTCTCCCCTGTTGGATGCTGTCATCTTCTGTTACCTCACTCCCTCTCACTGACTGAAGACTCTGGCAGCAACTTCAGGCTTCCTTTTCACCCTCACTCCTGCCATCATTCTGGATGACCTCACCATCTATGCTGTGGAAACATCCAACAACCTGACCTCACACTTGACATCTCCCTCCTGAATGCCCGTGCCTTCCACTCCAGACCACCTGCTTCCCAGGGGCACACAGGGGAACTGTGCCGCTGGGAACTAGTAGTTCAGTCTCTGGCTACAACTTCCTGTTCTTCCAACCTCCTTATGCCTCATTCCCACAACATTGGCTCTTTGACATCACAGAATCCACCCCTCCCCCACTTCAGTCCCTTTATCCTGCTATGTTCCCCTAGACTGTCAGAATTCTCCTTCCCTCCCCAGTCTGGACCCCATGCTTGATCATCTGAACTGCGTTCCCATGGCACCCTTAAATCTCTTGTATTGCTATCCTTCTGTTATCATTGTTCAATGAAACCTCAACCCTGGCTGAAAGCTGTACCCAGCTCTTTTCAATCCTACTGTGCTAGTTGCACAGTACTAGGTAAATCATGACTGTATGGATTTGTCCTCTACAAATTCACGGCCTTCAATCTTAGGCTCTCAGCCCTGAAGGGTCATCCTTTTCTTAATGTTTCATTCCCTGTCTCATAATCCTCAGTGGCTACTGCAAACCTTTACCACTCTCAAGACCCCTACTCAGTTCCTGCCACTTGGTCTAAAAAATTACTCTTGCCTCCCACTTTATTAAGAAATTGAGGCCATTAAGCATGATCTCAATGCTTACAAACCCCACCCCTTCCCCCTCTCTGGCCCCAATTTTTACAACCACACCCATCCTGTGTGACCTCAAGCATAAGGTGTCCCTTCTCCTATTCAAAGGTCAACTGCCCCACCTCTGTCCTGGACCCCATTTTCTCCTAAATCTCACTCCTCGTACCTTTACCTCTCTAACTACGGGATCCTTCACGCAAGCCTCACTCCCAAGTTGTCCCCATTCTGAAAAAACAAATTACAACTTTCTCTTAATCCTTTGTCCTCTTCTATCTACCATCAAATTTCCATGTCTTCTCAATGACAGCTTTCTAGAAAAGTCCACACTCATTGTCTCCAACTTAATCACTTCCCGGTCAGCTCTCTAGTCACAGCCACTCTGTCTCCAAGCACAGACCGCGGGGGGTCGCCGGTCTGCTCTCTCCCCTCGATCCTCACCCGACCCCATTCTCCTGGATTGCGCTGGCCACTCTACCTTTACCCCCTTTCCTAGAACCGCTTTTCCCTTTGGGCGGCATCTTCGAAACTTCCCGTCGAACTCTCAACTGCTCTGGTCACCACACAAAACCCCTTTAGGCCCCACGAGCATGTTCTGAACAAATGCCTGAAGGCGACATCGCAACTCACCGTTCTCACTGCGGCTCCAGAAGCAGGCAGTTATTCGGACAGACCCGGTCCTTAAGCTCTCGGACCAATGGCGCCGAAGATATTTGACCAATAAAAAGCTTGGGTTGGGCAGCGGGCGGAGCCAAAGTTAGAGCGGGAGAGGAAAACACCGCCTCTGCGCATTTTGTTACTTCTTTCACGCGCATGTATTCGAGCCTGGTCCCTTGCTCCCTCGCCGCCGCGCTTGCTTTCTCGGCGCGTGCGTAGTGGAGACCGCGAGCCTCCGTACTACTTCGGCACGGCCTCCGGCCAACCCCGCGGGGCCGCCAGACAAAGAGAAAGCGGGAAGGTACTTGGTGGCTGCGCCCTGATTCAGCTCCCTCCTACGCACAGGTGTGCTTTCCCCGCGGTTTTGCATTTTTAAGTTTTATTTTGCCGCGTGGGTCCCAAAAGATAGTGTAAAAGGCTATCACCAATCCTCTGCCTCTTGCAGTACACTGTAGTGGAGAAAAATTGGAAGCAGTCTAAATGTCCCTCCGTAGGGTATTGCTTCAATAAACAATGTTTCAACCACGCAAAAGAATATGCGCCATTTAAAATAACCAGTGTATTGTGACAACATGGATAGACCTAGGGGCTATTATCCTGAGTGACATAAATGAGAGAAAGACAAATACCACATGATTTCACTTATATGTGGAATCTGAAAAACAAAACAAATAAGCAAACCCAGAAACAGAGAACAGACTGGTGATTGCCAGAGATAAGGGAAGTGGAGGATAAGGAAAACGGGAAGAGGATCAAGAGGTAGAAACTTAACAGTTATGAAGTAAGTCATGGGGAGGAAAGGTACAGCATGGGGAACGTTGGGGGAGCGTTGTGTGTTTTCCTCTGTCCTCGTCCCCGCTGCAACAAAGAATTGAAGGGCAGAGACACGGTACTGAAGCAGAGTAAAGTTTTATTTCAAGTTACTTAAAGAGAGAAAAAGTGCAGCAGGCAACCTCAGCGAGGAGAGGCGCCCTGAAAGATTGGAGAGAGAAAGTTTAAGATTAAAAGGATACACACTTAGAAAGTGCAGGCGACCTCAGAGAAAAGTGCCCCTAAAGGTTGGGGGTTCCCCCTTTTAAGGATTCTTTAGGGATGTGACTAAGGACTGGGGTGCAGACTTGTTAAGTGGTCTTTGAATACTTAGAATTAACACAAGGAACTTCCTGCTCTGATTTCTCCCTAGGATACTGGTGTTCTTGGTCTGGGAACATATCAAACAAGGCTGCCTGCCCAGCCCCCAAGGTGGGCTGAGTTATTGTCTGTTTGCTAGAGAGTAAATTAAAAAATCTTACTTCTCAACTTCCTAGGTATTAAAATGCAATCTTTAAGATGGAATCCTTCCTGCCTTTGACTATGTTGTTCACTGCTGGGCCTGCATGCTAAATTAGTAGCCTTCGTTGCAAACTACTTGATTAGGGCCGAAGGAGGAAAAAAAAAAACAGCATATAGGTAAGTTAAAAAATAAGCTGGGCCTGTGTGATTAACACAATAAAGACATTGGCTATGCTAAGATACCCTCCTTTATCTGGGGAATATTCAAATATTCCAGGCTAAGTTACTCCTGGCTTTTGAGTTTTAATTGATTAATGCTGGGTCTTTTTAGGGGACTTCCCTGGCCTTTTTCTCTTTCCACCCCGCTCATATCTATCTTTCTGCCTAACAGTATGGTCTCACATTCATGGGCTCACCCACAGCCAGGAAGCCCAGAAGGCCCCTTTACTTCCGGTCTTCCATAGGGAACAGCCTTTCCTACAATCACTGGCTGTGGCCATCTTGGAGTGGGAATGAAGTGGAGTACAGGTCCCAGTGAAGAGCCAGCGTTACATGGCCGATGTGCCTGGCAAATGCTTCGTGCCTAGAACATTGTGAGAGCTCTGTGTGTTCCAGCAGATAACACAACAATAATAAGCAAGCCTGTGTACTGGTTGAATTTACCCAAAGTGGTGCCTGAAAGCCAATAGCTCAAAGGAGAAAAGGATGGGCATAGATCTGCTGAGGGTTTCAAGATCAAAACACTTTAAGACAGTCAGATACAAAATCCTGCACCATCTCAGCTATGCAGTATGCATCACTAAAAAGGGAGGGAAATACGATAAAATCTCAAGTGGAAGTTCTGGAAAGTGAGTTTAAAGCTAACTTACATTTTTTTCCTGTTTATGTTATATTCTGTTTGAGTCAATCGGCATATATAATTTTTTTACTCAGGAAAAGAAGGCAAGAAATGTTCTTTGTAAAACAAACAACAAAAAAAGCCTAGCTTCTCTACAGGGTTAAGTCTGCACCAGCTTGTGGAGCCCGTCTGGGGGGTAGTCTGTGGGGCAGAGTAACGAATGAGGCAGGGGGGCAGTGAGGAGAAAACTTCAGCCTTGAAACCATGGAAACGACTGCGGGAGTGTGCACAGTGAGTCAGAGCCCGGAATGGCTGCCAGTTGGCTTTTCTATTAATTATCTCCTCAGACTGAATCTTCCACGCATTTCTTAAACAAGGAATATCAAGAAGGGAAGCTGGCAGCCCCCATGAGGACAGAGGTTCACCAACCTTGACGCGGACTCGCTGTTCCGCCCTCACCTGCTCCACAACCAAAAGGGCTGCAGTTTCTTTTGCATCTGATAACCCAGAAGAACTTATTCTGAAAGGGGAGCTTGAAGCAACAAAAACACAGAGATCTAGTTGCTCTCATTCCAAGCTGGTCCATGCATGGGGAGCTCAAGGCCCCAGACTCTGGGGCAAGGGTAAACAAAGGTCATCTCTGGCAACTGAAACCAGGAAAAATCAGTGCACGGTGGATGAGATCAGCCACCTACAAAAGCAGTCACCCATCCTGGCAAATCGGTGCTGGTATATCGCTGATGGGATGGATGTATCTCCTGAGCACAGTCAGTGGCCAAAGAACTTCCTATCCCTCTTCATGCTGTTGTAACATGTCTGGCATTAGATAACGAAGGTTTGAAAAACTGGTTTTTGTTCAGAAAGTGGCTGCAAAGGGGAAGATTCCATCTATGTTTGTCCAGCATTGTCTAAGCAAAAGAGCTTCAGTTTCTGGAGGTGCATGAATTAATCTTCCAGTTTCTAGTGAGGTGCATTTTTTTGGAGGCAGTGTTCATTGGAGGCTGTGGAAAACAACCATCACAAATGGCATATATAGAATGAGCCAGGCACTTTCCCTTCTTGATCTTTTAGTTTTCACCACAGTCTTACTTGCAAAGACTCACCATTGCCATATTAGAGCTAAAGAAAGAGGCTCAGAGAAGTTAAGAAGCATGTTAAAAGTTTCACAGCTAGGGACTGTACCAGGGTTGGGCTGTGAACTCAGGTCCATCTGACTTTCAGGCTGGCACTCTCTGCATGATGACACTGCCCCAGGCTTTGCCATCCCCTAAATGAAATCCAAGAATACCCAGTTCCCTTTGTTCTGAATGCATGTTCTCCAAGTCTGCTTCCTAAGGACCTGAGGCCTTACAAGGGGTCACTCTGCCCAAGAGGTGCTAGGGCCAAGTTCTGCCCCCACCATGGGACAGAAATAAATTTGCCCCTGGTTCTGAGTAATCTGGAAGGTGATCTCCTCTGGCTACTGTGCCAGACCTCCCAAGCCCAGAAGCACAGAGGCAAGGAGGGGCAAGGAGAAGGAACAGGGTGGGCAGAGCATTTTAGCCAAGGCTGGGGTGGGGGTGGGGGTGGAGAAGAGATATTCTGAGTCCTCACCCTCAGGAATTGTTCCTCATGTTAAGTGGATTCAGCCTCCTAAACAGCTCTTCCTCCCTGCCTCTCATCATTCTACAGTGAATAATGAACTCTGGTTAAGAGTCACCAGTTGTCTCTTGCACTCATTTCCTTCCTTCTTCCCCACTGCCACAGCCTTTTGCACATTCTCTGGACTATCAAAACAGCCTCCACGTTGGTCTCCCAGCCTCCAGTCTTACCTCCCACCAAACTACCCTCCTCAGCTTCTGACAGAGTGCTCTCAGAAACACAGATCTGACAATCACTTCCCCAGTTAAGACCCTTCAGTGGCTGCCCACTGTCTGAGAAGCTCCTTAGACTGGATGCCCAAAGGCCTTTCTGCTGACATCTGCAGTCTCATCTCTTGCTAGTCCCTGTTGGTCTCTAGCCATGCTGAGTTACCATTTACAGGCCCTTAGACGTACAGTGCTCTCTTAGGACTCCATGCCTTTGCACATGCTGTTCTCTCTATCTGCAATGCTGTTCCCCCATTTTTGATCTAGCTAACTCTGTCAAGTTAGACCAAGTTCAAATGCTACATATTGAGAATGTACAAGCCTTCCCGGACCCTCTTCTCCACCTTCTTCCAGGCTGGGCTATGTACTCCTCTGCCCTTCCAAAGCACCCTATACTCATCTCTAGCATATGTATGATTTTGAGTAGTTGTCCATGCCATAGATGGGCCACAGCTTGTGTAACTGTTCACTCACTGAAAAACATTTGAGTTGTTTCCAGTTTGGGGCTATTACAAATAAAGTGGTTGTAAACATACATGTACAGGTTTTTGTGTGAATACAAGTTGTCAATAATTTCCACGAATATAATCGCTGAGTTGTATGGTAAGCATGTTAAGTTCTATAAGAAATTGCCAAATGCTTTTCCACAGTGACTGTACTATTTCAAATTCCTAGCAGCAGTGTATAGATGACTCAGTTTCTCCACTTACTCACCAGCATTTCATGTTATTGTAATTTTTTATCCAGCCATTTCAATAAATGTGTACTGATATCTTCTTGTGGCTTTAATTTGCATTCCTTTCATGGTTAATGACGTTGAACATCTTTTCATGTGTAAAATTGCTGTCTGTGTATAGTCTTTGGTGAAATAAATGTCATATCTTTTGCCCAGTTTCTGATTGGATTTTTTTTTACTGTTGAGTTTCAAAAGTCCTTTATATATTCTAGATATGAGTACTTTGTCAGATACAGTTTGCAAATATTTTCTCC